GGTGGCTGAGAACCGTTCCCCTGGCCAGACCATGGTGGTGATAGATGGACAAAGAACCGGGGGAAATGAGAAACTGGGAAACTGGGTCCCAGGCTGGTCAGTCACTGTCACTGTCACTGTCCTCCCATTGTTCATCGATTTGCTTGAGTGGACACCAGTAACATTTCCATTGTGAGACTTGTTACTGTTTTTGGCATATCGAATACACCACGTGGACCTTGCCAGGTAGTCAGTTTAATTCTCTCCCCTCCCCAACATAGTCCATTTTCTTCCTTACAGCACAATCATAGTCATAGTTTTGGTCGTAGTACCAGTCCCCGTCATCATAGTTCCATCATCCTAGACTCCTCATAGACCTCAAACTCTTCTACTTCCAGTCATTGTCATCATCTAGTCCTCCTTCCAGTCCCCAATGTCCCAAAGTCTCCAAAGCCTCAGTTCTCATCCTTCTCTCTTTTCCCTTACAACATGCTTATGTAGGAATCATGAAGGGTGGGGTACACAGAGATGGGGTTGAACATTGTCATAACAACAAACAAAAAGAAAGCCCCTCCTTCAGGGGAAGTTCTAGGAGATTAACTCAAAGACAAAATCTGTCTGAGGGCTCTGCACTCCTGATTACTAGGAAATACACTCAAGGGCAGGATTCCATCCAGGGTGTATTGCTTTCTTCTTTCCTTAGCTAGTAACCCATTTAACCAATCATAGTAAATTTACTTCTTATAATATTTCTAGTCATTTTGTGTGAACACAGTCAGAGATATATTATGTTTGAAGGTGGCTCTTCCTGAGGACATCTGGCTATATATTCCAGACCACAGTCTTCAGGCCAAGTTAGTCTTTCCTAACCCCAGCAGGGTCCATATTCAATTACTTCCCTTTGGGTCATGACAGAGTTTGTTCCATGACCAGGCTCTTAACTTATTATATTTATGGTGTTTAGCCTGTTCCCTTTTGATGCCAGTTTAGCTTATAGTTTGCTCTGTGTACATCCAGTCCTTTCCCCAGTACACTCTGCTTTAGGAGTGCTAGGAACTAAGGGCAACTGAGGCTTAAGTCAAGTAAATATGAATATCCAAGAGTCAATATTATTTTGGAGTCAATTAACTCCCATGTTACAAAGCATGGGCTACGGCAGCCGGAGACCTCCAGGACCAGCCACCACCATGCTGAGACCACTCTCCGCACACCTGAAGGTACTGGCAGAGGGACAAAGCCACGCGGGTTCCGGGGCCGAGACCTCCAAGCCTACTCGAATTGGAGTCGAGCATCTTCCACCCAGATCCTCCAAATTCCAGTAGGCGGGGGTAACACCCACCACCTGGCCCCCTGGCGCCGTGTAATCCCATCAGCGGCCAAGACTCAGAGACTTTAAAATCCAGAACCCGGAACCGCGCGGCCGCATTCGCGGCCGCGCGACATCTTAACAGAACTTTTTTTTATGACATCTTATTGTCTTATTCCTACTTTGGACAAACTTGCAGGCTATCGAATGTAGCCTGCCCACAGGGCAGAGTCTGGCAAACTCCCCGTGGCGTACCAAATATGCCAAATACCAGTAACAATGATGGGTCTCATTCTCCTAAATAGCCTTGAATATAATCTCAGGGCAAGGATGAAAGAGACGTTACTGGGGCCTGCTCGAGGCAATCGACGAATAACAGGATGATGAAATGAAATGAAATGAAATGTTACAAAGCATGGCATGAACTGTCTTCCTGTGTCTATACAAAAAGGACATTGCTAAGCTATGCAAATGTCATAAAGGAAAGAGAAAAGCAATATAGGATTACTAGTGCTTGATGAAATTCGGTGTGCCTCAGGGGCATTGTTGTGGGTGAGAGCAACTCCACAAACCTAAGCTCCCTGCGGGAGAAGCAAGGACAACTGATGTTACTCAATGGGAGACCCCATGCAAATAGGGTTTGAGGGTGCTCTTAAAGACATCACTGTGCCCATTACAACCTAGAGCTGGATAAGGCAGGAGCTTTAACAGAGTGAACATAGCAGCCTGTCCTTTCCCTGTGCTTCTGTTCAGTTTCTACATGATCTCAGAACCTGTACTTTTCTGAGCAGTCCCCTGAGGAATAACAACTCTTGTCAAAGAGGAACAACTGGGGTTGTCAACTTTAAGTAGAGTCAAGTCAAATTGGAGCTAGTCAGAGTGAACACAATTGACTTAGGAAATCTCAGAACTCCTAACAATCATCCCTAGGGAAGCTATAAACTCCCTGGGAAACTGGTGTCTGAGAAAGAAATGGCTTATTAGGGCTGGTTGTTAGATGGGGCAGAGACTGCTGATGACTCTTCCTTAGTAATAGAAGCTACAGAGCCAGAGAAGTAGAATTGGGCTGAAGGCACTTACATTGCTGAGGACAACCCTGGCTAGATCCTCAGCACAACATGGCCCCTGAGTACTACCAGAAAGCAAGGAGTAGGAGATTCTGAGCAGTGCAGGGTGTGACCCAAGAAACACACAAACATACACACACACATGCACACACACATACACGTAAGCACTCACACAAAAATAAACAAGAATTAAAAAGAACTTTAAAAAATGTCATGAACAGCCTTTAAAAAAAGAGTGGAGTGGGGTGGTGGTAAGGACCCACTGTGTATCATTCAGCCTCTTCACACAAAGACTTTATTTTCCCAGTCTCCCCTGCAGCTTACCACATGATTAAGGTCTAGCCAATGGGAAACAGTGAAACTGTCACATGGCATTGATAGACAATATCCTTACCTGGAATGGCCATCTTTTCTTTAGCCTTTGCCTTCCTGTAATGGAAACCAAGTTAGAGGATGATGGGTCTCTAAGAGAGGAGTTTGGACCCAACTGTGTGTAGCTTCCTCTCTCTCCTCACCCCAATCCTGGGCTACTTATTTCTGGACGTCTTTAAATATTAACAAGAAATAAACTGCATTTTGTTTGAACCATTGGGTTTCTGTTACTCTCAGCCAAATTCAATATTCACTGCTAAGAGAGGTAAAGATAATTACAAAGTGATTTAAGTCGAAACGCAGGGGGGGGGGGAGAGAGAGAGAGAGAGAGAGAGAGAGAGAGAGAGAGAGAGAGAGAGAGAGAGAGAGAGAGAGAGCCTGAGCATATGCTTTCCATGTGGGAGGCCCAGGTTTAATCCCCAGCACTAAATGGAGTAGATGGAGTCCTGAGCCTCATTTGGTGCAGCCCTAGAGGTTCTGTACACCACCAGAGACACCAGCCTAAAGCACCACATTCTCAGGTCTGAGCAGCGAGCCACCAGCCAGACCATTAGAGGATTGTTGGGAAGAATCCTCAGGCCTCCTGAGCACTGTTTTGGCATTCCCCTTCTTCATAGACAGTCTAAATGCAGCTTTAAAATTTTAAAAATCTTACATGCTATTTCATTTTCCCTCTAAAATGTCCACAAGAACACAGGAAAAATAAAACTTTTTTTTAAACCAAAAAACACCTTTATTTTAGCCCACAAAGAGCAAACCATCCTTTATTCCTCAATGCAATCATGATTAACTTACAAAAATGGACATATATGATCCATTTTTAAATTTTTATTTATTTATATTTTTAATTTTTTTATTGAATCACTGTGAGATAGTTACAAAGCTTTCATGATTGAGTTTCAGTGATGTGATGATAGAATCCCCAGCCCTCCACCAGTGTAGATTTTCCACCACCAATATCCCCAGTATCAATCCCGCTACCCCTACCCCATCCTACCTCTTGCCTCTGTGGCAGACAATTTCCTTCTTACTCTCTCTCTACTTTGGGGCATTATGGTTTGCAATACAGATACTAAGAGGTCATTATGTTTGGTCCTTTGTCTACTTTCAGCACACATCTCCCATTCTGAGGGATACCTCCAGCCAACATTGACTTAGTGATCCCTTCTCTGTCTCAGCTGCCTTCTCCCCCAGCTCATGAGGCAGGCTTCTAACCATGAAGTAATCTTCCCTAGCCCTTGTGTCTACTGTCCTTGGGTGTTAGTCTCCTATTATGGTATTTTATATTCCACAAATGAGTGCAGTCATTCTATATCTGTCCCTCTCTTTCTGACTCATTTCACTTAGCATGATCATTTGATCACTTGACTTGACTTCCCGTTAATCGTCGATTTGCTTGAGCAGGTGCCAGTAACGTCTCCATTTGTCCGTCACGTGCTAGTGTAGCCCAGCAGCATCTGTTTGTTCTAGGAACACGAAGAGCCTCAAACCAATCGTTCAGGATCTTGATGAAGAAGTCTGACCATCTGATAGGTGAAAGGCCACATGGTCTTTTGATGTCCTGTGGAATGCTAACGGCTCTAGTCCAGAGGTCATCTCCAAATATCATTACATGTCCAGCCCATCTGATTTTTGACGCCTTGGCAAAGGAGACAGCGTCCCGGATTCTTGATCGTCTACAGAGGTCGAAACTCCGGATTCTTTCTCTCATTTGAGTGAAACATGATACTCCAAGCATAGCTCTTTCAATTCCTCTTTGGGAGACCCAAAGTTCTCTCCTGTTTGTGTAGGGCCCAGGTCTCTGAGGCATATGTTAATTCAGGAAGAACAGTGGAACACTTAGCATGATGATCCATTTTTAAGCATTTCTATTTAACTGGAAACTTAGCTGTAAGTAATCCAAACATTAAAATTTTTTTGGTTTTCCATTATTTTTTAAAGCATGTTTTGTTGGCATTATAACAAAACAAAAAAGAAAAACAGGGGCTGGAGCAATAGCACAGTGGGTAGGGCATTTGCCTTGCATGCAGCTAACCCAGGTTCGATTCCTCCGCCCCTCTCAGAGAGCCCAGCAAGCTACTGAGAGTATCTCTCCCGCATGGCAAAGCCTGGCAAGCTCCCCATGGTGTATTCGATATGCCAAAAACAGTAAACAACATGTCTCACAATTTGTTGAGACGTTACTGGTGCCCACTCAAGCAAATCGATGAACAATGGGAGGACAGTGCTACAGTGCTATAACAAAACATAATCTAACATAAGTCAAGGAGATCTATTCATACATTAGGTCTTTCTCCTCCAGGAACCAGCATTGTTAAGTTATTTCCATTTAGCAAAGGTAAAGGTAAAGGTAAAGGCCCTTCCGTTGATCGTCGATTTGCTCGAGCGGGCCCAGTAACGTCTCCATTGGAGACTTTGTTGTTACTGTGTCTGGCATATCGAATACTCTCGGTAGCTTGCCGGGCTCTCTGAGAGGGGCGGAGGAATCGAACTCGGGTCGGCCATGTTGGCTGCATGCAAGGCAGACTCCCTAGCCGCTGTGCTATCGCTCCAGCCCCTGTTTTTCCATTTAGCAAAATCTGATCTAATTTAGTAATGATTCTTCTTCCTTCTGGCATGATTTCAAATTCAGTGACATCTTTCAGTACCATGTTGACAAAGTCATCAAATATTAGGAGCGTGTCAACAATTTCCTTAATACTCTTCATCAAAATGTGAATTCTTGATCCCATACACATGTCTAGACTCTAGAGCTGCAAGGGTTAGTAGGAAGGTTAGCCTCCATGCCTATGCCCCCAAGAAACTTTAGAAACTAGGACCAAAGTATTTATGTGAGAGTTTTCTAACTATTCCTTTACTATGCATATATATGTATATATATACATATATATATAGCTTATATATTGCTTTTTGGGTCACACCTGGCGATGCACAGGGGTTACTCCTGGCTCATGCACTCAGGAATTACTCCTGGCAGTGCTCGGGGGACCATATGGGATGCTGGGAATCGAACCCAGGTTGGCCGCATGCAAGGCAAATGCCCTACCTGCTGTGCTATCTCTCCAGTCCCACTATGCATATATTTTTTAAAAATTTTTTTAAATTGAATCACCATGAGAGCAGTTACAAAGTTTTCGGTTCAAGTTTTGGTCATGAAACACCCAACCCTTCACCAGTGCACATTTTCCACCACCAAAATCCCCATAATACTCTCCATCCCACACCCTTCCTACCTGTGTGGCAGACGATTTCCACGTTACTCTCTCTCTACTTTGATTACATTCAATATTTCGACACTAGACCCACCATTATTATTTGGGATTTTACCCCAACACTCAAATCTGCCGAAAAGGCAGCATTAGACAATTTGTTCTCTATTGCTGATTATGAATTGCTACTATTCATATGTTTAATTGTAATTTTTTAAAAAAACAAAACCTACTTTAGACCCAGGGATTGTAAATAAGACAGATACTTGCCTTCATGGATTATCTGTTCTGGTTGGAAGAGACAGACTATGAAAAAGTCAACAAAGAGCTATGCTGGGTTATGTAAGTATGTGAAGAAGTAAGTATGTAAGGAAAGGGAGCAGCAAATGATATAACAGATTTGCATTACAGATGGGGTGATAAGAGCAGGCCTTGTCGAGGCAGTGATATTTGAGCAGACACAGAAAGAAGTGAGGGTGGAAGTCGTAGACATATCCAGAATCATGAGCATTCAGGAGAGAGGGTATGACAAATGTAAAGTTTAGGACAGAATTTGACTTAGCATATTCCAAAAATGGTAAAAGGAGTAAAAGTAGCTGGATTGGAGGGACTATGAAAACAGAAATGATTTCTAAAAGCTGGACAAAGGCTAAATAGCACATAGGATGTATTCCAAGAAGGTCACATTAACTGAACTAAAACACATTTTTGGGGTCCGTCTTTCAAAGCAAATACTTCCTTAGCTAAAGGGAGATAAGAAAACTTCCTGTGCCTTGTAATTGCAACATACTCCCCATCAGAGAACTTGGAGGCCAGCCCGTCCTTTTGTGGGTTTTTGTTACCAAAGTGTATCTCTCTCTCTCTCTCTCTCTCTCTCTCTATCTATCTATCTATCTATCTATCTATCTATCTATCTATCTCTATCTCTCTCTCTCTCTCTCTCTCTCTCTCTCTCTTCAATCAGAGATTTGATCCTGATAACAACAAACTTTCCCACTCAGTCCCAGGGGATGGATCGGGATAGGGGTGTAGGATTCTAATGGGTGTGGGGTTCACTAGAGATGCACAGTGACTCTTGGAAGGGTCCTCTTACAAGTCAGAGGCTGTTTAAAGGGAGATGGAAGAACTCCATCTTCAGAGAGGGCTGGAACTCCGAACTTTTGAAATTTTTTTTTTTTTTGGATAGAAGCACACCCAGAGGGACTCTAGGGCTATTTCTGGTTCTTTGTTCAGGAGGAACCCCTGGCCCTCTATGAAGAAATTCAAACCAGGGTTGGCTGGATGCAAGACAAGCACATTAACCTCTGTCCTATTTCTCTGGCCCTTATATGAATTCTCATGAGGAATTGTGCTAGATGGTGACAACTGGAGAAAACCTGTCTCTGTCTGAGAGAGTCAGAGTGAAGGCTGACCTATCTTGGTGACAGGCAACAGGCTGCAACAGATATTTTAAAACAGATCGATCATTCTGGGCCAGAGAGATAGTTACAGTGGGTATGGCACTTGCCTTGCATGCACCTTTCCCAGATTAGATCCCTGGCATCACATCTGGTTGCCTAAATGCTACCAGGAGTGATCCTTGAGCACAGAGCTAGGAGTAAACTCTGAGGACAGTGATTTGTGGCCCAGAAACCAAACCCTCCTGTGCAATTTACCAGTAGTAAACCTTTGATATACAACTCACAGGATACATTTAGTCCTAGCTAATATATGAAGAAAACTGTATCAGATTTTACTTTTAATACACCGTCATTATTTGTATAAGTTTTCAAAATGAATTAGAGAGAGAAAGAGAAGCTAAGTTGGTGTAAGTTAAATTAGACGATATGTGGTTTGGAATTATGTCTCAACGGTGTGAAATTTACCATATTATATTCACAAATATTTATATGATGATGGACATTTATATACTTAGAGACAGAGAAATAGAGTCATAGAGAGAAAGACCTTAAGTATAAGGCAAAGAAATTCACCTCTGGAACCCTTCTAGCAACTGAATCCACTTTATAGGAACTTAAAGTTAAACTGGGTTGGGGGAAAATACTATTTAAACAAGTCACTGTCTTTTGGATGTCTAGAGTTAAGAACAGAGCTCCAAGCAGCTAATGATCAACACATCTTTCACTCCAGTTGAGTCAGAATCGCTTCAGGTTAAATGTAAGACACCAAATCATAAAGCATGTTGAAGATAAGATAAGAAAAATAACTCATGACATCAGAGCCCGGATGTGTTTGGGAAATAAACTCAATTTACAAGGAAAATGAAAGCAAAAATAAATGACTGGACTACAGTACATTGAAAATCTTTGTTTTTAGGAAAAAGAATACTTAAGCAGAGAATTGAAGCAGAGTACCAACAAAATACTGAATGGGAAAACACATTGCACATCATACATACAGAAAAGGTTAATATCCAAAGAATAATAATACCAAAATATACTAATATATGGTTACGGTCATGGTCCTCCCGTTATTCATTGATTTGCTCGAGCGGGCCCAGTAAAGTCTCCATCGTGAGACTTGTTGTTACTGTGTTTGGCATATTGAATACATCACAGGTAGCTTGCCAGGCTTTGCTGTGTGGGCGAGATACTCTAGGTAGCTTGCCGGGCTCTCTGAGAGGGGCAGAGGAATCGAACCCTGCTCAGCCGAGCCGGCTGCACGCATAGCAAACGCCCTACTGCTGTGCTAGCACTCCAGCCCCCATAGTAATATATACTGGATATAATATTAGATATTATTCTAACAAATCTTATACCTGTTATAATTCCATTGTGCATATATACCACATCTTCATCATCTTCTCATCTGTCCTTAAGCACCTAGGTTGATTCCATATCTTAGCTATTGTACTGAGTGCAGCAATGAACACTGGCATGCATATGTCCTTTTGAGAGTGCCCCAAAGTGGTATCGCTAGGTCATATGGTACTGGGCTATCCTTTGCAGAGGATACTATTATATCCAAGAACTCATGCAACTTGACCACAAAAAAGCCAATTAGCCCAATTAAAATATGAGCAGGTCTGGGCCTGGAGTGATAGTACAATGGTTAGGTGCTTGCCTTACACACAGTCAACCCAGATTCAATTCTGGTACTCCTATGGTCCCCCAAGTGTGCCAAGTTATTCTTGAGCACAGAGCCAGGAGTGAGCCCTGAACACTGCTGGATGTGATCCCCAAACAAATCAACAACACAATATGGGCAGATTTGAATAGAAAATTCTCCAAAGAGAGCAAACACATATGTCAACAGAGCCATTTAAAGATGCTTATGGGAGAATAAAAGTATCTGCCATAGAGGCAGGCAGGGGGTGGGGGGGTGGGAGGGGATGGGAGGGAGACTGGGGACACTGGTGCTGGGAAATGTACACTGGTGGAGGGATGGTTGTTAGAATATTGTATGACTGAAATCCAATCATGAACAGCTTTATAATGGTCTATCTCACAGTGATTCAATAAATTTTTTTTAAAAAATAAAGATGCTCATGGCCCAAAGGCCATATTGTGGGAGAACTGATATACATAACTGAGTTGGGGAGGAAGCACTGGGGAGGGAGAGATATTGGGGTCCTCAAGAGAGGGAGGAGGTACACTAATGATAGGTGTGGTGTGGAAATTATGTGCATGGGAAGTCACTATAAATACCATTGTAAACTACAGAATCTCAGTTAAAAAATAAATTTTTTTTTGAAATGTGCATGGTCATTGACTAGTAGGGAAATTCACATCAATGAGATGGGCAGTCCACCAATGGGAATTGCTCACATCCAAAAGAGTAACAAGTGTAGGTGAGATTGTGGAGACAAAGGCACCCTCCACACTGTTGGTAAGACTGTAACTTGATTTGGCTTCTATGGGAAACAGTGTGGAGCTTCCGGGAGAAGCACAGAAATAATATTGTTTACAATAGCTACCATATGGGAACAATAAAAGTGACTGACATAGGTAACTGGATAAAGAAACTGTGTATGTATAATGTGTTTCAGTTATCAGAGAAGAAGAAAGAAATCTTGCCATTTGCAGCCAAATGGAAGGAGGGAATTAAACAATAATAAATTAATCAGGCAGGCAAGATAAGTACTGGTTCTTTCATCCACACATGCCATATAGGATGTATAATTGATAAGCAGGAGCCTAAGGGTAACTCAAGTGATAAAACCTGGGCATTCCTACCTGGCACTGCACCACCCCTGAGTCCCAAGGAGCTTTTTTCTGGTGATCCCCGGTGACCACTGAGCATGGCTATAGTGGACAGTCTAGTGCTGAATTAACAGTCTCATAGCACTGGAGTAATCCAAGGAGCCCCCAATCCCAGTAACACACAAAAATAACAGAATGAAGCAAAAATAAACCAGTGAACACTGAGCATAACTCAGGTGACCTGAGGCAAGGAGTGGGTGATTTAAGAGAAGTCGCTGGGCTTTTTATTTATTTAGAAGTTTTCTAAATAAATAAAACTGCAGATGTGGCTGAGCAGTAGGGCACTTCTGGCCCTGG